CCCGCCTGCCCCGCCGCCGCCGGCCAACCTGTCAGAGGTGCTGCTGAAGGAGCGGCCTGGTGCAAGCAGCGGCGGTGGCGGCAGGGGCGAGGGGCCGGGTGGGCTTAAGGACGTGTTCCAGGCTCTGCAGTCGGTGAGAGGCGGCTGGCGGCAGGGCTGCATGTCGCGAGGCAGTTGGGCGCGCGTTCGCCCGTCTTTGCCGTGCTTGTTTGTTTAGTCACTGGCTTACTCGGCAGCATCCGCTCCTGGCGTGAGCATCTGCAATTGCTCAGGCTTGCATGTGCTTGTTTCCCCTGGCTGTGATGGCTCGTCGCCATTCTGCATCACCTGCATCACCCAAAAAACAGGGTGGGGGCGTCACCGCCGGCCTGCGCAAGGTGACTGATGACATGAAGGCCAAGAACCGCACCGACAAATCAGGACACGTGCCCTCGTCCGGCGGCGGGGCGGCAGCAGCACCGGCGCCGGCCAAGGCCAAGGCGGGGCCGCCGATGGGAAACCCCAAGTGAGATGTTTCTAGGTGGCAAGGGCAGGCTTGTCTGGCCCGCCAGCCGCCCTGCCGCAGCGCTTTCCTCCGCACGTCGACACACGCTCTGCACACTTGAAGCGCCCTAGCAGTCCTTCAGCAGTGCGTGCTGGTTGCCCTGCGCCATATAAAAACGAGAGGCCCAGCACCAATTTCGCTATGACGCCATCCCCTTCAACTCGCATTCTTCACCCCTCCTCCCCCTTACCCCCTTCTTGCCTCCAGAATTGAGCTGGAGGGTGACCGCAAGTGGGTGGTGGAGCACCACAGCGGCAACAGGGAGATTGTGGTGGACCGCACCGACCCAAGGCACACGGTCTACATCTACAACTGCCACAACTGCGTGGTGCAGGTGCGCATCTGGACGGGGACGCGTTGGGAACATGTGTTTACCGCTGAGAGAGTGGGATTGAAAGCAGCACCACTTCTGTTGAGGGGACGTTTTCCTACTGTGAACATTTGAGCGCACATCAGCCCGCTCAGCTCAGATGATGTGTGCTTGCACACGTTGACTCTAATGCAACCAGGACTGCACAAGGGCAAGCGCTGCACACCATGCGACCTCATACACCACGCTGCCAACCCCGCAGATCAAGGGGAAGGTCAACGCGGTCAGCATCGACGGCTGCAAGCGCACCGGCGTCGTGTTTGAGCAGGTCATTGCCACCTGCGAGCTCGTCAACTGCGGCTCCATGCAGGTGCAGTGCCTCGGCCACGTGCCCACCGTGAGCATCGACAAGTGCGACGGCTGCCAGGTGTTCATCAACCAGGACGTGGCGCAGGGCGACTTCCAGGTGGGGGCTTGCCTAGCGCGGGGGCTGTTTTGAGGCAGAGGATGGGACGGCTGCACCGCCTGGGGAAGCTTCCAAACCCATGAGTCTTCGGGAAGCTCACCGAGCGACGGCGCCCAGCCAGCGCAGGCACGCTGGCCCCTCGCAATCCTGGCACCTGGGCTGCCTGCTTACCCCATGTCAACAACTCGCTCTTTCGCACACACACACACACACGCTCACGCGCACGCGCGCACACACACACACACACACCACCTGTACCCTGCAAATCGTTTTTTCAGCTCGTGACGGCAAAGTCCAGCGAGGTCAACCTGACAGTGGTGCCGGCTGACCCCGAATCTGACGCGGACGCCGTGGAGCACCCCGTGCCCGAGCAGTTCATCAGCAGCTTCAAGGCCGGCCGCCTCGTCACCGTCGCCGCCAGCCACAGCGGCGGGTGATGCGGGGTCCGCCGTGTCGGGAGTGGGGCTGCCACGCGTGCGAAAACGACAGGGGTCGGAGCGTGGCGGCAGGCGGGGGTCCTTGGGGTGCGGGAACCTCTTGCGAATCACCCAGCAAGTTGCTGGGACGTATCGTTTACTAAGCAGGCGTGTGCTTGTGCCCTTGGGTGCGGGCAAATCTTGGCTCTATGATGCGGTTTGTCAATCCATATTGTGGCAGAGTCCATCCAGTCCAGCACTGCAGCGCTCGGGGCAGGGCAGGTGTTTCGGGCTGTAAACACGAGCGTTTGCATCATCTGCGCTGAATTTGGACGGGCTTAGTTGGCCTGTCAGCTGGCACTTGGTCACGTCAGCGAGCGACCCTGCACTGCAAGGGTTTACGCGGGGTGTGTTGTCACAGGACACATGTGTTAGTGTTTGACATATGGAGGCACATTGTGCGGCCACAGTGTAGCAGTTGAATAAAGTGTGGAGATACTTGTGAATGTGCAAGCGGCCTGGACGGCGGGCCTGGTGACTCGCTGGGGGGGCGGGGGGAGGTGACTAGATGTGGTGAGTCGGCAAGATGCAACTCGGCAACTGTTGGCATCCAAGGGACCTATCGCCGCCCACATGTGGTCATACGCGTACTGCTTGTGGACTCAATGTTTAGGATGCGCCAGGCCGGAGGTGGGGTGTCACCTGGAAGCGCTCAGAGCACCCGAAAGCGTCGCTGTCCCCGCCGTTGCGCCAAGCATTGACAACATCGCAGCTGGTCGCACTCGGCCGGCCAGTTCCTTTCATAGACTATTTCTTTTTGTTTCGTACGCCTTTCACCGGTCCAGAGCTCCGTAGATGACAGGTGACCGGCTGGCTTTCCGCCAAATTTGCAATGTATCCCGCTGCCCCGTGTTCACCAAGTCGGTCCCAAACATGTATCCGTATATTCAATGATAAAACGCGTTTAGGCGGGTCGCCATTATAGGGCCCGCAGATCGACGACTCGCCCTGTAGTACGAGCGAGCGTCCGGGGCCCAGGAGCTTTCTCGATAGCGGGAGGTTTTTCTCGCCGCAGCTGACAGCGCGGCCCGAGCCTCACGCCGAGCCTCCGACGCGGCGGCCTTGCTGGCCCAGTGTGCCATTGGTTGGTTCATCCACTTGCCAGCAGCCCGTGTCTCGCAACCGAGCAACCATGAGCGGAAGCACCACCTCAATAAGCTCCATGACGAGCTTCGTGCCCGTGCCAGAGCAGCGCGCAGCTTTGGCCACGGCGGAGCTGAGCTACGCCCTGCGCTCCAAGCTCGCCTGCGTGCTCGGACGAGTTTCCCAGATATTCAACGGCCATCACGCAAATATCAGCCTGCTCCAGGTGGGTCCAGGGCCTGCGCCGAGGCGGCGCATCACTGACAGCTCGCCCGGATCCAGGTGGACGGCATGGCGACTGGGCACCCCGTGGCGACTGGGCGCCCCGCTGCGCCCTTCCGTGCGCCACCGTCGCGGCAGCTCCAATGTCCTCGCAAACCCAATCGCCCCCTTGCGCTCGACCCGGATGGCCCATCCTCCCCACACACACCCCATCGCCCCCAGGTCTGGTTCCCCGACGCAGCGGGGAGCCGCGCGTCCAAGGACGCGCTGCAGGCTGAGTACCACGCCGACTGCGAGCTGGTGGTCATGGCAGACCCCTGCTTCGACGGCTTCAGGACCGCCAGGTGCGGCGCCGCCCTCGCGCAGCCCGCTTGCAAATGGGCATGGCCTGCGGCACGCGCCAGTCCGTGTCAGTCCGGGGGCCGCACGTCGCCCCTACCAGCGGCCCGTCACGCCCCGACGCTTGCCCCGCTGACGCCTGCTCTGCCCCCCTCCCGCCCGCCCGGCCGCCCGCCCCGTCGCGCAGTGCCCAGTGCCACGACTGCGGCCGCCTCTCCATGCCCGGCCGCGTCTTCCGCAGCGGCCACGTCCAGGTCGTCCAGAACTTGCGCGTGCTGCCCTCGTGCCTGCACCCGCGCAGCCGCCTCGACGGCGCGCTCGCGGACCGCGTGGCCGAGGCGCTGTACCTGCCAGTCTATGACCGCGAGCGCCCCGAGTCCGGCCCCGCGGCCGTGCTGGAGGCGCTGCTGTCGAGCCACGCGGCGGACTCGATGCTCGTGGCCAACCTCATGTCGTTCATGGGCTCGCAGCTGGCCTCTGTCCAGGTGCGCGCGCGACGGGGACTGAGCGCGGCTGCGGAGATTGAGCGCACGTGCTGCGCTGCTGCGACTGCGGCGGGTCGCGGGCGAAACAGGCGCACAAGGGCCCAGCCGCCACTGCCCCCGCTGCTGATCACTGTCTTGATTTCGCAATGCCGACTTCCTCGCAACCGCCCGCGCACGTCACACCCCTCGCAGCTGTCGCTGTCGAGCCCCCTGCCGCAGCCAGTGCTGCCGAGCACCCTGGCCGGGCGCCGCGCGCGCCCCCAGGTGGAGCTGTCCGACAGCGAGGACGAGGACCACGACACGTCGTGGCCCGCGCGCCGCCGCCCCGCCGCCAAGCAGCCGCGCCGCGCGCCGCCGGCC